TTGCAGCATCCCTAAAGCCCACGGGACCACCATTTGCAAAGTCAATTGGGATAGCTGGATGCATTTAACGGCCACTTGACTGCAGTGATTCATTTAACAACATGGCAATAAGGGTCATAAAAATCACATTTTTTTTCCTTGTTGGGACCTTCGAAGACATCAGTCAACACATTGGCAAAGTCTACAATACAGGCCGTCCCAGACTTCTGACTGCAATTGAGCCCAAGTTTGGTCAGTTGTTAAGTGGGTTATCGCGTGAGCGATCCAATCTTATAACTTTTGGGCGACAAGTCATGACACAAACCCATCGTCCTCAATAAAACAAAGTTCCTGATCAATTTGAAAGGAAATAATGGGGTGGGATGCAATCCTGAACTAGAAATATTTCTCCTTTATTGGTTAGAAAGTATTGGATGGATGGATGGATGGACGAAAAGAGGGAAGAATGGAATTGAGCGCAAGATAAAAAACGGTTGAATTACTTACATTTTTATCTCTTTGGGATTCAGATCTTTTCCGATAGTTTGTCAGATGGGGTCTGAATATCCCTGCTTCTCCGTCTTTAAATAAGACACCTCATTAGTTCTCACCTTTCCCTTTATTGTGCTTGTTGCTGTACACATTCCAGAGGCTAAGATACCATAATGAATGGTTGGGATATAGTGAAAATGACAACCTGATTAGACTCATATAAACTCCATGGGGAAAAAAAAGGGGGTGGGAAGCAAGAGAATAATCTTGATTGCTTTAGCCCTTCCGTCTTATTTAATTCGTGTATGAGCTTCTAAAAACCACGCAAGAACAGGCCCAGAACACAGAATTTATACTTCCCATCCCAGCCAGTTTCTGTTATCCATACTCCCAATTCCTTGGTTATTAAACAGCCCCAGAATAGGCAGGGGGTGTCATCCCCCCCTTTTTTTTCTAGCAGAAAAAAAAACCTCAGAGCTAAATGTAACCAAAGAAAGAGAGTGGATATCATAATTACTTCTATTCTGGGTTATTTCCCTTCCTCTCCCATCAAAGCCTGCAACCAGTGGCTACCTTTGAAAGGATTTGGAATTGCATTAAAGCTTCAAAAGCTGGCTTGAGCGACTCTGGGGACAGACTGAGGGCCCAGCTAATCCTTAAAGCTTGAGGGAGGCCCCTGAAGGATCAGCAGGGATCCGAGACCCGGGTCTGGGATTAGCTGGGCTCCCGTCTCACCCCCCCACCCCCATTCCTCCCAGTCTCTTTTCTGACACCGACACAACTGGCAATCTGGTGTCAGCCTCATTGCCCTTCCTGTTGGGCTTAATCCCAGCAGAAGAAAAAATAGGGTTGAATGGATGGGAGAGAAAGATGCTGCTTCTCCTACCACATCACAGTGTGGAAGGGATCTCAAAGATCATCCAGCCCAACCCCTACTCAGTAACTTCTTGACTTGTGACTATAATGGAGACCAGAATTTCCATTGCTGAGCAGGAAAGTAATTAAATGAGTCATGCCCAATTATATGGTTGTTTTCTTGTGGACGTTTCATGACCCAATTAGGTAACATCATCAATGCTTGGAGAGTGGGATTTGCGGAAAAGAAGAGGAGGAGGAGGAGATGAAGACCTTGGTACTTAGTTATTTTCTTAGACGTTTCATTACCAAACTAGGTAACATCATCAGTGCTAGGAGAAAGAGAGGTTTGCACCTGTTTATATACAGAAGCTCTGAACTGGGTTGCTTCCTTGCAGACATTTCATTGCACAACTAGGCAACATCCTCAGGGCTAGCGAGTGTGACTTGCCCCCTGTTAATATACAGAAGCTCTGAGCTTGGTTGTTTTCTTCCAGATGTTTCATGACCCAGCTAGGTAACATCATCAGTGCCGTGACTTGTTCCCTTTCGACATACAATAGCTCTTAGGTTGGTTGATTGCTTGCAGATCTTGCAATACCCAACTAGGTAACATCATCAGTGCTACAGTTGTGGTTGAGCAGTTGTTGGAAGAAGAGAGGGCAAATCCTAACAGCCTTGCTTGCAGCCCACTTCACTTGCAAAAATGCATGTTCCCGGACCTAAATAACACTCGGTTTACATCTGATGCTGTTTGAGGGACTTTCCCATTGCCTAGGAAAGTCATATCCAAACAGAGCTGATGTTTTTTAGCAGGCTAATTAAGGGCAACAGGAATTAAGAGGTGAAATCTTCCTTGCCTCTTCTGAATGAAAAGAAAAGCCTTATTCTCTCCCTTTCTCTCTTTTTCTCTCTCTTTCTTTTTTTCATTTTCATTGGGAGAGGGAGAGGAAGAGAGAAAAAAAAATCCCCCACCTCATTTGCAGTCTGCAGAAGTTTTCTTTTTCTGACATCCTGGAAGAAAAAAGCAATTGTTTTAAAGAGATTCCAAAGTGGTACGAGCCGTGCCTGATTATATGTTTGTTCGTATTTTCGGTCTTGATTTTGTCAGCTGCGGCCAAATAGCACTTGTTGATTTTTTTGAAGCGTGCAAACACTCCGGAACAGAGACGAACAATCCCTGCATTAAAGACACCTCCAACTTTTCAGATGGAGAAATTAGAAACAGTCAAATTGCCAACTTTTCGGCTGGCTGGCAATACGAATGCCGTCCTTTTTGACAAAGCTTGCAAGCCGCTCCTTGAATGATCCAGCAACGGCTGTAAAGGCAAGCAGGGGTTTCGTATGGAGGGTTCCTCCGAAGCTGCAGTTGTCAAAATGTGGTTTGAAGACCCCAGGGGCTCTGTAAAGTCAAATATAGCTAGCTCTCGACTTACAGCGGTTTGTTTAGTCATCAAAGTTACAACGGCACTGTAAAAAATGATTTACGACCGTTTTTCACACTTACAACCGTTGCAGCATCCCCAGGGTCACGTGATCAAAATTCAGATGCTTGGCAACTGACTCGTATTTACGATGGTTGCAGCGTCCCCTGGTGTCACGTGATCCCCTTTTGCAACCTTTGGACAAGCCAAGTCAATGGGGGAAGGCAGATTTGCTTAATAATCAACTGTGTTGTTCACTTAACAACTGCAGGTTTGTTAAGATTCACTTAACAAAAACTCTCTTACCAACTGTCTCATTTAGCCACAGAAATTTTGGGCTACAATTGCAGTGATCATTGGAGGGAAGAACGAACAGAAGACCTGGAAAAAAAGGAGGAATCTGAAACAAGATTTGTAAGGATCAACCATTTTACTTGCTTCTGTTTATAACTTTGCTTTACAAAGGAAAATTCAAGATCAAAACCGAGACAATATTTACAAAAAAATGCATGTTCTAATAAAAGTATATAAAATCAAACCTTATGCAGGTAAGTCCTCGACTTTACAACCATTTGTTGGTGATGGTTTGAAGTTACAATAGCTCTGAAAAAGTGACTTACAAGTGGTCCTCGCAGTTGTTACAACCATCGCAGAGTCCCCGGGGTCACGTGATCAAAATTTGGATGCTTGGCAACTGACATGTACTTATGCCTGTTGTATTGTCCTGCACTCATGTAATTGCTATTTGTGTCCTTCCCAGCCGGCTTCCGACAAGCACAGTCAATGGGGGGGGGGAGTCAGATTCCCTTAATGACCATGTGGCTCACTTCACAGCTGCAATGATTCATTTAACAACCGTGGCACGTGGTTGTAAAATCGGGCGTGACCCACTTAAGAAGCACCTTTGCTTAGCAAAAGAAATTTTGGTCCCTGGGATTCTGAAACTGCTGTAAATGGTTATAAGTCAAAGACTCTACCTGTATGTAAACTTATTTTTAAAAAGACACTTCAATTTCCATATTTTTCACATGAATGAAGGCTGGGCATTGCAGGGTGCCTTTTGCACGGTGAACCGTGACCAAAATCACAGACAAGAAGGGTTTTTTTTTGGTAAAATAAATCTAAAGAATAGTTTTCTGAGATAAAGGACGTCTGGACACTGTAGATATAAGCTCCTTGTTATATCTATGGCTCTTTGGGGTCTTCAATTATTTTTTTAAAAATGTGCAGCAGTCCTGGAACCAATTTTTGATGGTATATCTATGCGTAGTTGAACTGTGGTTTATGGAATTAATCTCATTTTTATAGCTGGCACCTCATTTGCCTTCCTTTAACCAGACACAGGAAAATGAGTAAATTCTGCTCCTTTTTTTACACAGCCTGGAAATTTTTTTGCAGGCGATTGAGGTGAGAGTCTCGTGTCCTATGATAAATTTACTTTCTACATCCATCCATGCAATTTGTTTTCCCCATTATAGATTTCACCCTGAGCTTCTCCTAATAGGTGACCCGTTCTTGTTACCAGCTAAATCCTTCCCTTTCTTTTCAAATGGCCTTCCTCAGCTGAATAATTAATGTGTGGCTCCCCATAAAAATAATTAGGGCAGCTTTTTTTTTTTTTTATGGAGGTCCTTGGGAAGATGCTCTTGAACCAAGGCTAACTTATTTTATTTATTTATTTATTTTTTGAATTTATATCCCGCCCTTCTCCCGTAGGACTCAGGGCGGCTGACAATCTATTTAAAATACATACAAAACAATACAAATTTAAAATTAATTAAAAGGAATATTTAAATATTTGTCGAATTTTAAAATATAATTAAAACCCCCCTAAAAATTACCCTAGGCCAGTCCTGCAAGCTGGAATAACCAAGTTGGAAGCTTGGAAGCTGGAATAACCAACTTAGCAAAGGACCTCTCTTAAAATAACATCTTGGAGCGCTAGGGGAGGTGCGTGATTACGCCCGTCACGATGAAGTGAGGAGAGATGTTTTCTTCCCAAGTCTGTCCTTTTGGGGGGTACAGAGGAGGACCGATTTACAAGAATGCTTGTCTTGCGCCAGAGAGAGGTATACAACGAGTGTCTTCTCCAAAACTCAGTTGAGGACACAAAGAGAACATTTGACGTAGTCAAGTGTGAAGAGGTGGCAAGGGAGTATCTCGGCTTCTGTGTTTCTCCAGACTCAGACAAAACCACGGTGAGCTTCCGAAGGTGGGAAGGTGGGAGAGGAACGAAGGAGGAACACACCGCTAGTTTTCATCTCTGACCGGCCGAATCTTCATTTCGGTGAACTTGAGAGAATATTGCCAACCTGTCCAGGAGGACCACTCGATGCCGTCTGCATAGGAGCTGTGGTGGCCCTTGAGGTACTGACCGTTCAGGTTGGAGGTGTGGCAGTTGCGATACCACCAAGCGCCGTGGTAAAAGGCGGCGCAGTTATTTTCCGAATGGTCGTTGTCCAGGTCTTTGGTGGTGAATTTCATGCCGTTGTGTTTCAAGAGAGAGTCTCCTAAGGAGGAGAAGCGTGTTAGGTTGGCGAGATAAGTCAGAATGAAGGTTGGCGAGATAAGTCAGAATGAAGGTTGGCGAGATAAGTCAGAATGAAGTTTCACAGAACTGTAGAAGGAGCTACTGAGGTTATTCTCCCTCATGAGGGTGTCCCCAAGCTCCTCTTGGAGGAACCTCCAGCACGGAGACTGATCAACCCCTGGCTCCACCATCAAATGACAATCAATGCTAGAACGTTACGTTCCCCCATTCCACAAGGTTTGTACTGGGTGATGTTGAATCCCTTCACATCCTGTCTTGGGAAAGAACCATAATCGGAAAGTTGGAAGGGAACGTTGGGATCATCTAGTCCACCTTCTGTTGAGGGCCAAAGAGCAAATTAAAACCTTCTTGCCAAATGGCAACCTAATCTACATTTGAGAAAGAACCCACAGACATCTGAAGAATAGGATATAGAATACCAGAATTGGAAGGGACCTTGGAGGTCTTCTAGTCCAACCACCTGTTTAAGCAGGAGACCTTATATCCATCCTGGACAAATGGATGTCCAGTTTCTTCTTGAAAACCTCCCGTGATGGAGAACCCAAAGGTGCTTTTTTTCAAAAGGCAACTGGACTTTCTTTGTTCCTACTCTGTTAGTCTGTATTTGGTAAAAGCAGATTTGGGGAAGACTAGAGGAGTGAACGGAATTGTAAGTCCAGGAATGGTGTGGAGATAAAACGCTGTTGCGTTTTTCCCTGTCAGAAAACCAGAAATGCTGATTTCCAGATCAGCCTACTGGCGGACGGCTTCCAAACACATTTGCAGAGTGGATATTCCAACTGAAGCCTCCTTTACCGTGGGGTGAAATATTGATTTCTGACATGAAATTTAAATTCTGAATAGGCGTTTGAAGTGGAAATTTGCTACTGTGGTAAGCTCGGCTGTTTAATAAGGCTGGAGATTTTCTCTCTCTCTATTCCGAGCAGGGAGTCATCGGTTTTTTCCTCCCTTTTTTTTCATCAGAATGATAATGTGAAAAATCACACATGAAAGGACCTGTGCAATTATTAAAACATACACTTATAACTTATAACTTTGTTTAGTGACCATACTGAAAAAGGTGACATATGGCCTATCACCAACTAGGCTATATAGTCCTTGGTGTTCTCAGAGCTTGATGGTTTTGTTGCAGATGTTCCTTCACCCAGCTAGGTAACATCATCAGTTCTAGAAGGGAGTGAGGTGTGTGAGGAGGAGGAGGAGGAGGAGGAGGAGGAGGAGGACTGTGTGGGATCCTTGGTGCTCTCTGAGCTTGGTTGTTTTCTTGCAGATGTTTCAATACCCAACTAGGGAACATCATCAGTGCTATGTTTTCTCCATCAAACTGAAAGTAGATGATAAGGCCGAGGTTGATGAAATCCATGATTTTGGATACTTCAATCTTAGTGTATTTGATTAGGTTGGGTGCATTGTGTACTACTGCTGCCATGGATTCTTTATAGCACTGATGACGTTACCTAGTTGGGTGAAGAAATGTCTACAAGGAAACTAAACTACTAAACTCAGAGAGCACCAATGACCCCACAGTCGTTGCCCTCCCGCTCCTCCTCCTCCTCCTCCTCCTCCTCCTCCTCCTCCTCCACCCCACTCCCTTCTAGCACTGATGATGTTACCTAGTTGGGTAATGAAGCGTCTTCCAGAAACCAACCAAGCTCAGAGAGCACCAAGGACCTCACAAAAAGAAGCCACATCTTTAGAAAGGAGCCCACCTGCTGTTCCAGAATAGTCAGCAATGGTGATGGGGTAGCCATCTTCCTCCGGGTCCACGGAAAACAGGCCGACCGCAAACATCCCGTAATGGGCGTAGGCCGTGCCATTATCGAAATCCTCCAGGTCGATGCGCAATTCATAGTTTCCTTGCGTGCTGAGAGCATGGATTCGCTTCAGACCTAGTGCAGAAAAGGAAACAATCAGCGTTGTGTTTCTCCTTCTCTCCTTCCTGGCCAAGGGTAGCAGGGACTCCGGCCTTAAGCAAGGGGCTGGACTAGAAGACCTCCAAGGTCCCTTCCAGCCCAGTTTACCTGAATTTGAGGACGGGATTCTTGCTGCTCTAAACTGGGGTTGAAACAAACGGCACACTTCTGCTCCTACTCAAACACGCGACAGATTCTTTTATACCATTATTCGCTGCTTTCTGGCTTTTCATTATCTTATTTATTCGAATCCCACTCTTATTATTTTTACAAAAAAACTCAAGGCGGCAAACAGATACTAGATGTTGCTTTCTCTTCCTGTCTTCCCCTCAATAACAATAACAACTCTGGGAGGTGAGTTGGGCTGAGAGCGAAAGGCGGGCGCAAAGTGGAGAGTTTCAATGCTTAAGGAGGGACTGGAACTCCCAGTTGCCTGGGGATTCGTCCAGAGTCACCCAGCCGGCTTTCGTGGCGAAGGCTGGGACTACAACTCACAGTCTCCCACTTCCTAGCCAGGTGCTTAAAACCACTAGATCAAACTAGCTTTTTAATCTGTTAATGCCTCATCATTCCCCTGGGATGGACATACCCAGCCAGTGTTCTCCTGTGAGTTTTCCGAATCCATCTTTGTAAGCTTCCCAGCCACGGAAGAAATTCACGGAGCCGTCCTCACGCCTCTGAAAGACCTGCAGAAGCACACACACACACGTTGTGGGTGCGAAGTTAACGAGCACGCACCAACAGGAAAAAAAACCCCACAAAAATAACCCACACAAAACTCTTGTTTGCTGATGGCTGAGTCCCCTGTCGTTTTCATCCCCCCCCCCCCGGTTCCTGCTTTTTGCTGTCGTTGCCTTCGAGGAGAGCAGCTTATTAGATTTGAGTGCAAAATGCAAATTAATTAGAGGGCTGCAAATTGGCTAATTACACTGGAGTGGTTCAGCACTGGGAAGTCCGCAAACGCTGCCTGTCAAGATGAATGGGCGGTTGAGGTTGTGTGAAAAGGCTTTTCCATCAGTGAAATGGGAGGGAAGGATAGTCCAATTTACCGCTCTCTGCTTTAGGACGGGTCTCCCGACGCGTCGGCTTCGACGGCGATCATTTCTCTAGCGAATTGAAAAGTCGTCGGGGAAGGAACGGCTACTGATTTGACTCCCCACTCCCTCTACCTCAGTTATTGGACCTTATACCGCCATCCCTTGACTTACAACCATTCGTTTAGCGACCGTGTTTGATTTTAAACCTGTGGTAAGGTGCGCGGCCAATAAATGTAATAAGTAAGATAAGATAAAATAAAATGAAGTCACAGCGGCACTGAAAAAAGGGACTGAAGGCCAGTCCTCACGCTTACAACCGTTCATTTGGGACAAAGTTGCCACAGCACCGGAAAAAGGACCAGTCCTCGCACTTACGACTGTTGCATCATCCCTCACAGTCACAAAATTTGGGAGCTTGGCAACTGAAATGTGTTTACAGTAGTGGGGTTGCTGAAAGTCAACACTGACTTGATGACACATAATCAATCTATCCATCCATCTATCCATCCATCCATCCTCTACCCATCATCTAAGTAAGAGCTATGCAATTTCCAGAGATGTCCACAATGATGCAACTAGCAGAAGTATAGAGAAGAGGGTGACCAGCAAAAAGGTGGATGAACTCGGTTCCGGTGGTGATGGGAGAACAATTGGAAGATCTGAAGGACCAGGTGAGAGAGACAGATCATCATGGAGAATATTTATCTACGGAGTTGCTGAAGGTCAACACTGCTTTGATGGTACATAATCTGTCAATCAGTCCACCTCTACCTGTGAATCAAGGTCAGCCTTCTTAACCTGGATGTCACCACAGATAGGTGTCTACACCCCAGATTCTCAGCACCCAACGTGGGAAGTTCTAGGAGCCGAGCTTCACCCTCTGGAGGTTGTCCAAGCTGGAGAAAACTTTTTTGAACAATTCGTTTTCTGGCAAGGTTCTCCAATTAAGCCCAGGGAAATGTTTTCCTTTGATGAAAGGTTAATTTATTGACTGGGATAAAGAAAATGCCACTGAGGTCTGACCGCTTGCAACTAATTAAGCCCACAACCCTGGATTTAATCGCTCTGAACTTAGCTTGGGTTCACTTTAATTGGGAAGGAACTCAAGAAGACGCCTTGAGAGGCCTCCAGATGCTCATCTCAGCAGCTTTTCAGCTTCCTCCAAAGTCATCTGCATCACGGAGGTGCTTCCCTTTATTCAAACATTGCAGGTGCTCCTCGTCTTACAACCATTAATTCAAAACAGCCCGGGAAAAATTGACTTATGACCATTTTTCACACTTAAGATCGTTGAAGCATCGCCTGAATTTTGAGCCTGTGATCGTGGGGATGCTGCAACGGTTGTAAATGAAGTCAGGACTGATTTGCTTGAATTTTTTGATCAGGCACATTTGCCTGGGTGCTGCCCTTTGCTGTGACAAAATATATTTTTATTACTAATTAATTGGGCGATCTGGTACGTTAATATCCTGAAAAATATTAATCTCTTTTTTTCTCTCTCTCTCTCTGAGTTTGCACAAAGCAAATTCTCAGCTTTTGTTTTTTTTTTGAGCTGCAGCGGATGGTTCTTCTTGAAAACTTTCTGGCAATTTCATGCTGCATAAATTATTTGTGATTAGATTATTGCACAACCGATCTACTACGATGACTTTATTGGGGGCAGACAAAATGGGACTTCCCCCCCTCCCCCCATTACTTCTCTCTGAGGTTTGGGTCCCTCCCAATTTGCAGCTGGACAGCAACTTTCCTCTTTTGATTTTCCCAGCCCCCCCTTTTTTCCCCTTTTGCATTATTTATCCCTTTTGCAGGATTTTTTATTTTTTATTTTTGCATTATCGGGCGCAGTAGAATTCCTTTTGTGAATGCATCAAGGGGACCCAGCTGAGACGCCAAACAATAAAAAAATAGAGGACCGCTGAGTACAATTAAGAAAGGTCTCATTAAAAAAAATAGCTGGGCAAAACCTGAAAAGGCAAAAAAGGAGAGTGCAACCCAGGAACGCAGCAGGTGCCGGATTGCAGACTGAAGAGCAGCATTGTCCATTCTGCAGCAAAGAGGGAGATGAAGAGAGCTTTTTATTTGTCTAAAATTAGACAACACAGAGCCAGGCACAAGGGGGGGGGGAATTATCTGTCTCGCTTCCTGAAAAATTCCACACATGAGACTCATCTGAGTTGCTGAGTTTTCTCCCAACTGCAATAGGATTCTAAACCTCTTGGGAAATCGGAGAATTCTGATATTTTAGAACATAGAATAACAGAGTTGCAAGGGATCTTAGAGATCCTCTAGTCCAACCCCCTGCTCAGGTTGTTGTTGTTGTTAATTGCGAAGTCGTGTCCGACCCATCGCGACCCCATGGACAACGTTCCTCCAGGTCTTCCTGTCCTCTACCATCTTCTGGAGTCCATTTAAGTTCACGCCTACTGCTTCAGTGACTCCATCCAGCCACTTCATTCTCTGTCGTCCCCTTCTTCTATTGCCCTCAATCTTTCCCAGCATCAGGCTCTTCTCCAGTGAGTCCTTCCTTCTCATTAGGTGGCCAAAGTGCTTGAGTTTCAGCTTCAGGATCTGGCCTTCTAAAGAGCAGTCGGGGTTGATCTCTTCTAGGACTGACTGGTTTGAACGCCTTGCAGTCCAAGGGACTCACAGGAGTCTTCTCCAGCACCATACTTCAAAGGCCTCCATTCTTTTACGCTCAGGTAGGAAACCCTATATCCATTTCAGATAAATGATTGTCCAATCTTTTGGAAAGCCTCCAGAATGGAAGGGGAATGTTACTCAGGTTAGTATGGGTGTAAAGTAAAAATTCTGTCCCATTGATCCAAAATCCTGATCAAACAAAATTCTGCTAAAAAAATTGCCTTGGTCCAAAGCCAGTTTGGGAGACCAGCTTCTGGTTGAAAAAGCTTGGTCTAAAACAGGTTTTCTCAGACTTGGCCACTAAGACAGCAGGCTGGCTGGGGAATTCTGGGAGTCAAAGTCCACCCATCTTAAAGCCTGCAACTCTTTGCTACTCAGGAATTGCCTTTTAACAGCCAGTGGGAATGTGAAAATAAGTGTTATTCTCCACTAGTGCAAGCCAGTAAATCTGCTAAAAGCTAAAATACTGAGATTTGTGCTTGTATCTCTAAGGCAGTGGTTTTATTTATCCACTTATCCAAGAAATGTCGGCTGACGAAATTGAGGGTCAAGAAAACTGTACGGCTTGTTTACTTCCAGCTTCAGAAAATGAATCAGTGTCGGTCTGTAGCTTTGTTAAAAGGTTAAAAAAAAACCCATTACTTCTAATGCACTATGAAAACGAATAAGAAGAGAGACAGTTGACTCTAGCCAATTTAAGGAAGAGTAAAGCAGAAACCTCCTGTTCATATCCTAAAGTGAAATACAGGTAGTCCTTGACTTAACAACATATTGCTCAGTGACCATTCCATATTGCCAAAAAAGTGACTTATGGCCATTTTTTCACACTTACGACCATTGTAGCATCCCCAGGGTCATATGATTTACATTCGGATGCTGGACAACTGACTCACATTTACGACGGTCGCAGCATCCCGGAGTCACGTGATCCCCTTTTGAAAACTTTGGACAAGCAAACTCAATGAGGGAAGCCAGATCCACTTAACAACCATGTCACTAACTGAACCACTGCAGCGATTCGCTTAATGACCGTGGCAAGAAAGGTCGTAAAATGGAGCATAACTCGCTTAGCAACGTAAATTTTGGGCTCATTTGTGGTTGCATGTTGCAGTTTCCCAGTAATCTTCAATTGCCCAGTCAAACTTTATTTCATCCAGCCTTAGATTCGGAGTGTAGAAAGAACCAGCTTTCCGTTGCCAAGGAGCTTACGCGATTACATTAGATCAAGTATTCATTATAACCGATCTATTTGTTAAATCCCAAGAGGGTGAAATTTGAGTCCAGGTTTGAGACGCTGACAAGGCAGAAAGTGCCATTCCTGGTAAGATAACCCAATTGTGGGAAGCGAAACGAAAATCAATTTTCTGTGTATCGGATCAGTTAGCTTTTCCCTGAAGATTTCAGTCTAAAAACCCAGATCAAATGTCTGGGAGAAAAAAAAAGAAAAAAAGACAATATAGAAAATAATGTGGCAAGAGCTTTGATTGCGGGGACCAAGTCATAAGTACTTTTTAAAAGGGTTTCTCGTTCTAGCTTTTTGCGTCCTTTGGTTGAGTTGAAAAAAGTTTGGATGCCAGCTAAATCTTCATTTCAAAACAACCGTTTTGAAATAATAATAATAATAATAATAATAATAATAATAATAATAATAATAATAATAATAATAATAATAATAATAATAAAGTTGGAAGGGACCTTGGAGGTCATCTAGTCCAACCCCCTGCTCAGGCAGGAAACCCTATACCATTTCAGCAACCGTTGCACCGTCCCCATGATCACGTGATCAAAATTCAGATGCTTGGCAACTGGTTCATAGTTATGATGGTCTCAGTGTCCTGGGTCATTTTGGATACTACATCAGTGATTGGATTTTATTTATTTATTTACTGTACTTATTTATTATTATTTATTTATTATTTAAATTTATATACCGCCCTATCTCCCTTACGGGACTCAGGGCGGTGAACAGGCAATAATAAAAATCACAATCATCACACTTACTTACCATT